GAAACTTGCCCCTTTGTAACATTCTCTCTTGCCTTTTCTATTGTTGTTATTTTTTTAACCAGACAGAAGTTGGAGGTTTTTGTTTTATTTTTTTGTGTGTGTTTATGCAAGGTTTTTTTTTTCATTTTTTTTTCTTGGAATGGGAAAGATAGGGTGGTTGCTGAAAGAAGGGAAAGGAGAGACCACTAAACATTTTTTACAAACCATGCTGCCTCTAGGGACACAAAGCACAGATTTCCTTACAAAGGTTGTAATTCTCTCCCCCACCCCAAGTCCACCATTTGCACTTTTTTATTATGGCAACCCACTTCCCCACTATCTTCAGGTATTGCTCTATAGCATCTTTGTGACCCCCCCTCCCTCCATTGCCAGTGGAAGTCCTCCTAATACCAATCCTCAAACTCATTTCCTCAAGTAATGCTAATTAGCCCTACTTACAATGTTGATTGCCAATCACATTTAAGCCCCCTGGACTTCATTAAGTATTATTCTTTAAAAATACATTTAAAATAGGTTCACATGCAAAATTGGAAAATACCAAGTCGTACTATGTATGTTGCAGTATTATGGTAGTATCTTCCATCACATATTTTAAATACACTAGAAATAGGGTGAATTTTCACATGATGATTTGTTTAGTCTCTGAGATGAAAATATCTGAAGAGTAATTCTTCAGCTGTAAAGTCATTTGACCTGACTTGTTTTCCATTCTCATTGTGATTGCTATGACTTTTTGAAGTTGACCCAACTTGGAAATGGGCATGTTGGCTTAAAAAAGGCCACGTTTGTCTTTAAAATGTGGTCATTGAATGCTGTTTCCGAAAGCGAATTGCTCCTTCTATGATATTAAAAATGGTAATTTTAAAATGTTACATCCACTCTACATAAGTTTAATTATAAATTGGATATTTTAAGAAGCTGTCCTGGTCCACTTTTTGGTGTATTTTAAATTTGAAATGGATCTTTGAATACCTGTATGTCTGCTGGATTAGTGGTCATTGAGTTCATTGGTCTGTCACTAGAGCCATCTTCACAGTCTGTCACTCTGGTAATAAGGAAAGTGACTCCTGTCATTTGGAGATGAAGCAGATCCTTTGTATTCGTTCTCCCCTCCCACTCCACTTCTGTCACCTCCCTAGCTAACCATCACTGCTCTCACTTCTACAGAAGCAAAGGTAATGTAACTGCAACAAATTTTCCTCTTTCTAATACTACATAAGATTGAAAGCTGCCCTTTGCTGATTCCCTTTGTGATGTTAGTTTTAAAATTTTGTTTTACGGGTGGAGACCACATTGTTTTCCCTGCTACCCTGAGATTACTGGGCTGCAGTCTTCTAAGAAGCCAAGAACGAGGTCTAATTTATCTTTAGCAAAATAGTGGTTGTAGTAGAAATTTATAAGTTTGTAGAATGCAGAATAGGATTGAATGACTTTGAGGAGTCTTTTAATGCATGCTTTTAAGTACAGTTTTGGGGGAAAATGGTCTTTTGTGGATCTCAGTGTCCACTGGCTTTGTTGTTTTGGTTTGGCCCTTGCAAACAATCACAACTATTTACCTTCCCACCGAAACCCCCACCCCCACCGTGCTCCCTCCTGCTTACAGTTGTCCACAGTGATGCTGCCGGGACCCACCCCACAGCTGCAAGTTCGTTAATGGTTTTTTTTAAAATAAGGTCCAAATCCAAGGATGTCTCGGTCGCCCTGTCCGCCCAGGTGGGACTGGCTGGGGGAAGACGCAGTCCAGGAGACAGTTTCGCAGCGTGACTCATCCTCAGCACTGACCGTTGTTTTTAAAACCGCAAGGAAAACTAGCCCAGACATTGTGATGAGGAAAACGGCGGGGAGGGACTGGTGGAGAGATGAACTGAGATAAAATTTGGCCAAGGCT